CCCCCCCACCCCAGAGAGATAACTTTGCTGGCACTAGAAGTGTCAAATAGGAGTTTTGCATTTTTGTCCCCCCCCCCCCCCCCCCCACCCCAGAGAGATAACTTTGCTGGCACTAGAAGTGTCAAATAGGAGTTTTGCATTTTTGTCTTCTACTTGAATTTTTAGTTTTTGTTTTGTTTTGTTTTAGCCCCAACAATACTTGTTGATGTCAATCCTGAAACCATGGTGATGCAAGAAGAAATTTTTGGACCAATTCTTCCCATAGTGCCTGTGAAAAATGCAGATGAAGCTATAAAATTCATAAATGAGCGTGAAAAGCCACTTGCTTTTTATGTATTTTCGCAGAACAATAAGGTAAACATCGTAGAAAATAGCTTCCTGTTCCAAACCACTTTCATAAATCCTTTTTCTTTGCTATAAAGCAAATAATATTTTGTCTTGTGTAGCATTTGAGCTCACCAAGTTCTTTTATTGAGTAATGAGGCCCTTGGGGTTATCACTGTCGCCTTTCCCATGGGGGTTATGTTAGTCTGCAAGAGTGTCACAAGATTTTTGATTCACAAACATTCCCTATGAAAGTGGAAGAGTTGCATCAACATTTCTGATGTTTTAACCACAGGGGGACCCCTGTAGGAAAGCCTTCTCCATTTGCCTAAGAATGGCATTTGTAGATACTCGTATGTTGTACAAAGATCCATAGCACGGTCATGTAAAAAGCTATGATACCTTGAACCTAGTTCCTCGAGTTAAGTCGCTTTATTGGTAATATGGTTGAACCTTAGCAAATTGACTAACTTAGGAGGACTACTTCATAACTCCTTCATCTACGTTGCCAATACTGGCTGCCACCAAAGAGACAGTTGCCTTCAAATGGATAGTAGGGTTCAGGACCTCCCTGAAAACAAAAGGGAAAGATTAAATGAAGCAAATCAAGGGCTGAGGAGGTTAACATCAACAAGTGTTTTCTAGAGTACTTCAGTGGCTCCATGTGTGAAGCCATGTGACAGCTTCTAGAATGTGAATGTGCTGGTGTTAGAGATACTATAGGTATTTCATGTGAATATATGAATGAGACTCCATAAAGAAATACCAAATGGGATACTAAGACAGCAGTAATTTGTCATGTAAATTGGCCATAGATAATCTGGTATGTTGGAACTCCAAAGTATGTTGGCCAGGATACAACTAAGGCAGGGAGCGGAGGTTGGTGGAAGGAGGAGAAAACTTTTAGAAGTTGGGTCAAAAAAAAAAAAAAAAGAAGTTGGGTCATCTGAAGTGCTACAGTACATCCTTGGCTTAGCTACAGAGAAACCTCGGGCATGCTGGCACCCAGATGAAATAACATTGAGCAGCTAACATTGACTGTCTACTTGGCTGATCATTTATTTCTTAGAAAATAGGATGCTAAACCAGAAATCTTAAATATATTTTTGTATTTCATGAAAACAACAGCAACAAATCTCAATCACCTGCCACAGTTTAAGATACAGAAAATATTAACAGTGTTTAGAAACGAAAATATAATTGGAAATTCTCTTTATAGAAGCCCTATTTTTCTGTTTGGAGTTTATAAACCTGTGGGTGATGACTGAGTTGAAAGTACAATAGATTCAAGGCTGCCTCAGCTAACATGTTAGATGTGCCTTTTCAGTGTTGGATATGTCACAAAACTCATCCACAATCTGTTTCCTTTATCTGATTGATTGATTGTTGTTGTTAGGTGCCATCAAGTCGAATACAACTCATAGCGACCGTATGAACAAAAGATCTGAACCCTGTTCTATCTTGCACCATCCTCACACTTCCTGACACACAAGAGCCAATTGCAGTAGTCACCTTATCAATTCACTTGGTTGGGGGTCTTCCTCTCCTTCACCGACCCTCCCCTCTTCCCAGCATCATCTCTTTTTCCAAGGAATGCACCTCCTAGCAACATGCCCAAAGCATGCCAGAAAAATATTGTCCAAAGTATTGTGTTTGGAGATTCTGTTTGATTGGTTCAGAGTATTTATGTATTTACTGCTGCCAGAGTGAATGTGGTACACCCAGATTTGAGATTTGTTGAAGCACAAAGGCCTAGCACAGATTCCTTCCTTTGAGGAGTTCAGGATCATAAAAAATTTGTTGGTTTGGGGTTTTGTTTTGTTTTTTTAATTATAAAAGGGTTTTTATTGGTTTACATTGGTTGAGTTGTGGGAGAATATCAAGGGTATCATCCAAGAAGAGTGCAAAAGTTCATTACAAAGACAGAAGAGGAAGAAAAGACCAAAATGGATGTCAGAAGAAACTCAAGATTGCACTGGAGCACAGAGAAGCCAAAGCACAAGGAAGAACTCAAGATACTAAAGACCTGAACAGATGATTTCAAAAGGCAGCACGGGATGACAAAGTAAAATATTACAATGAAATGTGCAAGGAGTTGGAGTCAAAAAACCAAAAAGGTCCAACTCGCTCAGCATTTCTTAAGCTCAAGGAACTGAAGAATAAATTCACACCTCGAGTTGTTATAATCAAGGATGCTTTAGGCACAGTATAAAATGGTCCAGGAGGTATCAAAAGAAGATGGAAAAAAATACGCTGAGTCATTGTATCGAAAGGAATTAGCAGACACAGAAGAATTTCATGAAACAACATATGAGCAAGAGCCTATGGTGATGGAGGAAGAAGTCCAAGCTCCTTTGAAAGAAATAGCAAAAAATAAGGCCCCAGGAATAGATGGTATACCAATTGACATATTTCAGCTAACAGATGCTGCCCTGGATGTGCTCACCAAGTTGTGTCAAGAAATCTGGAGAACAACCACTTGGCCAACTGACTGGAAGAGATCTATATTTGTTCCCATTCCAAAGAAGGGTGACCCAACTGAGTGTGGAAACTATGGAACAATATCGTTGATTTCACATGCAAGCAAGATTCTGCTGAAGATTATCCAAAAACAACTGGAACAGCACATCAACAGAGAACTGCCAGAAGTCCAGGCTGGGTTTAGAAGGGGTCGTGGTACTAGGGATATGTAGCTAATGTTAGATGGATCTTGGCTGAAAGCAGGGAGTACCAGAGGAATGTTTATCTGTGCTTCATTGATTATGCAAAGGCGTTTGACTGTGTAGACCATAACAAACTGTGGCTGACACTGAGAAGAATGGGAATCCCAGAAGATTTAATTGTGCTAATGAGAAACCTATACTTGGACCAAGAGGCAGTAGTCAGAACAGAGCAAGGTAACACTGCATGGTTCAAAATTGAGAAGGGTGTACGCCAGGGATGCATCCTATCTCCATACCTTTTCAACATGTATGAAGAGCAGATTATCCAGGAGGCTGAGCTCTATGAGGAGAAATGTGGCATCAGGATTGGCAGAAGATCTATCAACAATCTACGTTATGCAGATTGCACAACCCTGATTGCTGAAACTGATGAGGACCTGAGGTGCTTGCTGCTGAGGGTCAGGGACTGCAGCCTTCTCACCACTGGACCAATTGGCAGCAACAGGATGGATGGTGAAGAGATTGAGATTGTTCACAGCTTTAGTCTGCTTGGCTCCACAATCAACACTCTTGGCACCAGCAGCCAGGAAATTAAAAGACGTATTGCCATGGGAAAGTCTGCTCTTAGGGACCTCTCTAAAGTACTGAAGAGCAATGGTGTGTCTCTGGAGACAGGTGCATCTGGTACAGGCCATGGTCTTTGCAAGCACTTGTTATGCATCAGAGAGCTGGACAATGACCAGGGAGGACAGAAGGAGAATTGATGCTTTTGAGCTTTGGTGTTGGAGAAGAGTGCTGAGGGTGCCATGGACTGCTAAGAAAACAAGCAGATTCATCCTGGAGAGGGTTAAACTGGGCTGCTTCTTGGAGGCAAGGATTCTGAGGCTTCGTCTGACATACTTTGGTCATGTTGTAAGGAGGGACTGGTCCTTGGAGAGGGACATCATGCTTGGGAGAGTGGAGGGCAGGCGCAGGAGGGGTAGGCCCTCTGGGAAATGGATTGATTCGGTGACTGGGGCAATTGGGATGAGTGTGTCGGAGACAGTGAGATTGGCACAGCACAGAGCAGAGTTTAGAGCTATTGTATATAGGGTCGCTATGAGTTGCAAGCGACTCGACGGCACATAACAACAACAACAACAATTGGTTTAGGTACATTGTGTTTCATATATGTACTTTGTATTTTATACAATCATTGGCATACATGATGTTTTCTAATATTACTTTTTCTCTGTGCCTATCGTCAACCCCATCTTTTCGAGCCCTATTGAATCTTTCCAATTACTTCATTCCTGCTCTACCCACTAACTTCTACTATGCTGGTGATTTTTCCCTTTCCCTTTTTCTACCCACTTCTCTCCTTTCCTGTATGAACATTTATACATACCTTACTCACTTATCCTTCTATTTCCACAATAGTGACTGTAAGCACTATTTGCCCTTACGTGACTGAGATCTTTCACTCTGCAAAATAGTGTCTAGTCTCTCCCAAGTTTTATAGTATTTTACAAAACTGTTGCTCTTAGTAATAGAGTGTTGCATAGTATTCCATTGTGTAAATGCCCCACAATTTCCTTTTTTTTTTTTTTCCTCACTGGTAGATTTACTCACCATGTAAAATACAATATTAAAACAAAAATCCATGTTAATTGTTTTTGCCAGAGATTTAACAGTGTAAGCACAAAGTCGGCACAACTAAAGAAATATTTCCTAACTGATCATCCTGAAAATGCTTGTGAAAACTTGGCTTAATTTGAATCAGTCTGGACACTAATCTAACCTTGATTTGCTCCTATTCTTGCCTTAAAGCACTTTAGATTTTGCTTAGCATACAAACAAAGTAATCTATACATATTTTTCAAAATTTGATGAAATTGTTTATTCTGAAAGTGTTTGAGTCAAATTGTGGTTTGGCACAAAAAGAAATACTCTGAGGTCACTCGGCATGTAACAGCCCAGCAGCCAACTCATCCAAAAGTATGTTTATAGTGGTATTTTTAAATTAATCGCAGGAAAATAGGCTTTGAATAAATTTCTTTTCAACATATAGCCATACACTTGGTCCCACAATTTAATCCATTAGTCTGCTGATAGACATTTGGGCTACATCCATTTTCTTGCATTGTGAGTAATGCTCCTATGTACATAGATTTACAGATGTCCATTTGTGTCTCAGTTCTCATCTCTTTGAAATGTATTCCTAGGAGTGGAATAGTTGAGTCATAAGGTATTTCTGTGTTTAGCTCTTTGAGAACACACCAAAACTCTTTCCATAGTGGTTGTATGATTTTACAATCCTTTGTTTTGTCATCTAGTTGATCAAACGAATGATTGATGAGACGTCCAGTGGTGGTGTCACAGCCAACGATGTCATTATGCATTTTACACTCAATTCCTTACCATTTGGAGGAGTAGGTGAGTACTGCTTTTTATTGTCCATGGGAACTAACCATATTTGCCCTAGCAAACTGTCCGATCTCCTTGGTGGGCCACCAATACCTTATTCACATTGTTTGGTACCTCAGTTTGGCTCTGACTCCTAGTGACCCTGAAGTCCTGCCAAGTCCTGTGCCATACTTATCATCTCTGCTGTGCTTAAGCTCAGTGTTGTAACCACTGTGTCAGCCCATCTTGTTGAGTGTCTTCCTCTCCTTCACTGATCGTCTACTTTTCCAAGGATGGTATCTTTTTTTCCATAGACTGGCCACTCCTGATAACGTTTTCAACAAATGTGAGATGAAGTCTGAACCATCCTTGCTTCTAAAAAGCACTCTTAAAACAGATTTGGTTTTTTAGCAGTCCATAATATTCCGTATTCTTCCCTAATATTATTTTGTGATAGTTACAAGACCATAACTAAAAAGAGCATATAAGAGTGACGCTGCGCTGCCACCGACCTCGCGGGTGTTTCAACAAGAGGAATGGCAGTGGTGACACTTTTGTGACCCCCAGGTCACACGTCAGGTCAGCGACTACCTCCACGTGTCTAAGGAGGAATGGCAGCTGTGGGAAGCATGTCTGGCCTTCTGTGGCAGAGTCTCATGCAGAGAGCTGCCACCTCATCCTGTCACCTGCACACATCCCTTGGGTGGGCTGACTGCAACAGGGCATCACTCACACGGCTCCACAGGCAGGCCTATGCATGCCTCTATCCAGTGCTCTTAGTGAAGCAAGATGGTGCCATCATCCACATCCGCTACAGGGAGCCACGACGCATGCTGGTGATGCCTATAGACCTTGACACCCTGTCTCCTGAAGAGAGAAAGGCTCACTACCAGAAACGTGAGGCCAAATCCAAAGAGAAGAAAGAGGAACCAGAAGTCAAGGATGACTTTGATGTGGAGCGGTACAAACGATTTTGGTCCAAAAAGTGACTGTTCCTTGATTTAACCAGGAAGGAAATTGTGGCAAGATAGGAGTGAGATGTCTTCTTCCTACTGTACGTGTTTTTAAAAGTACATGTTAGAAACCTTAAAAAAAAAAAAGAGCATATAAAAGCAATCCACTGTTTCACAGATCCATTGTCAAGTTTCACCTTAAAATTGGGCTTTTTTTGATATCCCCATCTGAGTGATTGTTCTATAATTCCCAGCACTAGACAGTTACATTACTAAGTAAGAGGCTACACAAAATACAGGTCTCATTTTAATTAGATTATGAGTGAGGTTCAAACATTTTTCAGTTCTCATGGATTTTTGCTCATTTTCTTTAATATTTTTAATGTTTTTCTTATTGGTATGTAAATTCTCCTTACACAATTAAAAACAATAGTTGTATGTTTATTCTGATGGCATAATTTTCCTTCTAGATTACTGTTTGTCTTTAAATTATCTTCATAATTCAAAACTTCATAATTAGGGAGCTCTGGTGACCAAATGATAAGGAGCTGTGCTGCCAGCCAAAAGGGAAACAGTTCAGATCCACCAGCTTGTCCAAGTGTGTAACCTCTGAAAACCCACTGGTGCTAGAGTGAAACTTGGGTGTCTTTTGTTTTATAGTTTCAGTTTGACTCAAGTTTGGAAGCAGGAATGGCATCCACTTCCTAAACCACATGCCTCTGAAAACTCTGTGAACTAGGAGAAACAACAATAGCTATAGATAGGCTTTAGGCCTTTTGTTCATAGGGTCGCTATGAGTCTTGTTCAACTTGACAGCAATAAGCAACAACAACAATTAAGGAATTAGATTTAGAAAAATCTTTCTTCTCAGTGTTATATGGATATGTATTTTCCTTAAATTCTGTAGCAGTTAGTTTTTTTTACGTTTAACTATAGAATTATTTTGGAGGGATGCCCCCCCCCCCAAAAAAAAGGAAATCAATTATGTTGGCATGTTGTTGGTTTTTTAAAAGAAATATTCTTTTTAAGAAAATTTTATTTTATTTAAGGTAAAGTTACATATCCTATTGGTTTTCATTTGACCATTCATACAGATTTTGTTTTATAACATTCTGAGTCTCAAGTAACTTGAAGGCATGTAACAACAGCAACAACAGATAATAAGTTCATGCAATCATTCATGTTGCTGTCATCGTTGTTATATGCCGTCGAGTCACTTGCGACTCATAGCGACCCTATGTACAACAGCCCTAAACTCTGCTCTGTCCTGTGCCAATTGTACTGTCTCTAATACATCCATCCTGATTTCCCTAGTCAGTTCACCTCATAGAGGGCCTTCCCTTCCTGCGCTGTCCCTCCACTCTCCCAAGCATGATGTCCCTCTCAAAGGTCCCTCCTTATAACGTGTCAGTCATACATATTTTTATATAACAACAGTTTTATTAAGGGACCTCTGGTGGCCTGGTGAGGAAGGTGCTGGACTACCAAACCGAAGGTAAATGATTCAAATCCTCCATCTACTCCACCAGGGAAAGATGGATAATATCCTCGCATGCGATGTATAGCCTTAGAAAGCCAGCTGGAGTCGGTTCTACTAATTCTAATAGATTGCTGTAACTGGTTAATTACAATGTATAATCAGTATGTTGTATATTGCCTTTGAGCTTGTCTGTTTTTATTCTCCTCTCCCTACCTTCCCATCCTTGGTAACCATCCAGAATTCTGTGTGCAAACCTTTCTTTACAAAAGGCATGTGGTTCATATTCACCAACTGCTCCACAGGAGAAAAATGGACATTCTCCTCCTGTGCAATTAAACTGCTTCTGAAAACCTGGAGGGTCAGCTACAGGTCAGTTCCAAATTGATAGTACTCAACAACAGCATACCCTAGTAGTCCTTTTGTGACTATTTTGCTTAGCATAATGTCCTCTAGAAAAAACTATATTATGCAGTGTTTCATGCTACATTTTTCTTTTGTGATGTTGCTGATTTCTGTGCTCTGACACTTTTCTGTGTTGTGTTCATTTTATGTCCATGTTTACGACTTGTCCTTTCCTTCGTTGCTGTTGTTTTAGTGTTTACGTTTTGTTGTTGTTGTTGTTGTTGGTTGTTTTTAAAGTCGTTTTTATTAGTCTACTTTTTCATTTTGAAGAGAAGGTTTACTAATTTTTCTTGAAGAATACTCTGTAAATTATTTCCAACTTTAAGATAAATAGTTTACTTTAACTTGAAATCCTGACTGAACTGCTCCATTTAAAAATTCTGAATGTATACTCCTTATTTCTTCTTTTTGCTTTCTAATTAGCATCCTTTGTGGGTGTTGACGTTTTGGTTGGAATATTTGTTCCCCAAGGTTTTATCTATATCTGCCTGTTGCCTACCTGCCTGTATGCTTTCTGATGAAAAATCCAAGTTTAATTTAAATGAAAAAAATCCACAAGAGCAAAAAAAAAGATAAAAAGTTAAACAAGTAAACAAAAATTCAAAAAGCAGTGGGGAATAAAAGAAAAGGAATCATTCGGGAGGAGGGTATCTCTTGCCACAACTTAGGTGGGTAGACACAAAGTATTGATTCAGGGACAGTCTTTGTGCCAGTGGACAGAATTTGGGGTTAAGGTGCCCAGTCACGTCAGCATCTGCTCCTTTGAGAGGTGGCTGTGGCCCTAAGAATGGAAGCACTTCTGGTCTGTTGGGTGTCAATGGCTGGGGCTTCACAGTAGCCAGGGGAACCTTCCTGGTTAGAGATTCTGTCCTTGTCAGTCCAGGATTTGGGTGCAGTCAGGTACCCAGATAGGTGGTTAGTGTGAAGGGAGAGTCACTGCCAGTCTGAGCCCAGGAATGGCACTTTCCATGGAAGATGCACTGCTCTGAATGTGCCTGTGATGACTGAAGATGCCCGGTGAGTGGCAAAGAGCCCAGTCAGAGGTGGTGCCCCATTAGTTCATTGCTGGTTGCAGACCAGGCATGGCACAGCCTACCAGTTCCTGAAGGGGTGTCTGAGTGTAGACCATGTGTGTACCCCACTACAGATACAGAATGACAAGAGCCCGCCTCAGGCTGGGCTGGGCTGGGTCAGGGAAATGCTGTAAACCTCCTGGGGGACCATTAAGGGGGGTTGCTCCCCTGATCTCTAGGGCAGGTGTGGAAAACAAGGGAGGAAATCTTAATTGTCTTGTCATCAGACAGCTGCTGATACCAGGTTCCCAAGCCTGCTAGACCTTCATTCAAAATGGCTGCTCTGAAATGTTTACAATCATGTGTCTGTCAGTCCCATTATTTGACATTTTCATTCAGTTTCTTCATTTAGTGTTTTAAGCTGTTTGACGTAGTTCTTTGTCTTTGTCTTTTCCACTCAGGGTTCCAAGTTAATCCTCCACATCTGCTGTCTATGTTTTCTGGTATCTTAGTTAAAGAGGGTTTTGGGCTCCTGTGTGCCTAAAATGCCATCCTCACCGGTAATCACTATTTATTCTTTTGGAATTGGTTAGCAATCCTACCTTTATCATAAAAAAGTACATTTGATAAAATCTTATACTTGAGTTTTCTTTGAGTTATCTCTTTGATTTCATTGATCCAGAAGGTTTTCCCATTCTGGTTATATGTTGTTGTGTCCTCCTGAGTTGAGGCAACTCATGTGTTCAGCAGGTTTTCAGAGACTGTAAATCATATGGGAGGAGATTGCCCATCTTTTTCCAGGGGAACTGTTCATGGATTCAAACTGCATGCCTTTGGTGTTAATTACTACATTTAGTAATTAGCTTGATAAATAGCTTTATAGCCAGGGTATGTTGTTGTTTACCATCAAGTTGGAACCGGTCCATTGCTGACCCTCCAGTGGGTTTTCAGAGGCCATAAATCGCATGAGACAAGATTGCCTTTCTCCCACTGAGCAGCTGGTAGATTCAAACCACATACCTCTGCACAATTTCCTTACCACTAAGTCACCAGAGGTCCCTAGTAAGGGGTTTGTGTGTATTATTCTATGACAAGTTTTGAGACAGAAAGTAGTAGTGCCAGACATTAAACCTAGTTCACCTCTTTCCGTGGCCTAGTGGTAAGCAGCTACACTGAAGTCCC